TCCTGATCTGTTAATTCAACATTGAAGACACATCCTTCTCCCCTTGCATTCTTGTAAAACCGCATATTACCTTTGTTAGTAACACATACTTTAATTGTCCAGACTCCTTGGTATGGATTCAAGGATATAAGCGGATGAACTCTCCGAGTCATGGCCATGCGTGCTGGAGGTGCCATACTGGCATCCATCAAATAAAGATTTAACCATTAGCCATCAAGATTTGAATAATATCACAATGTTCCTTTTCAAAAACTTCAAACCAATTCAAGATGTAATGCAATACAAACAAATAAAAGTTTGGGTAATATTCAAACAACAGCTTTGCTATATATCTGAATCTACAAGGGATACATCCATACACATGTCTAACACATAGGAATAATGACAGGGGGAAGAGAAACTCACTTTCCATTTTGTTCATGTACAATCTGCGCAGCTGATTTGGACTCCTTCACCGTTGAACTGTTCAAGCCCCTGTCCTGTTTTGGCTTCAACACAATGCCAACCTCATCAATTTTATCTTCTCTTTTAACCTCAACTTTGTATTCAGCCTCAAGGGAAGGAGAGACAGCCTCACACTTTGTGACAATCAGGTATCTAAACACCCCCAAACAAATCCAATCAGTTGTCAAAATTCAATTTTTTCTCCAAAGGGGAAAAGAAAAATAACCATTAAATAAATGAAGGGTTATATTGATACTAACTTTTCATTTTTCATGGGAATGTCATTGAGAGTATAATCAAGAATTCGAATAAGACCCAGGTTCTGGATAGCCCCAGAAATGACATCGGCCGATGTGCTAGCCTGCAAAATCGCCTTGAGCTTCATCTTGCCATCACTGGCCGTGAACCTATAATTCAAGATTTTCAATTTTAGTGAATTTCTACGAATCAAACAGATCAGATACCCATTTTTCTGCGCTTTATTTTCACATTTGACAGTTAACATCCAAGATAAAACTACAATCTGAAACCCTAGACTGCATGAGAACAGCAGTTACATAAAAACTTACATTCCAATCTATCATCACGCTTACAATTAAAACTTCCGAAATACTCGGGTGAGATGGGGAATCATAAAGCTCAAAACAGTTACCAGCGAGAAAACTCACTAGCATATCACCTAAATCGGGAAAGATTTGGAAAAAGGACGAGGCTTACATGTATCGATTGCCGGTGGGCTTCAGATCCAGGACTTGGACGACGATCTCCGGGAGGTCAGACCCAGATTCCGGCGACGGGTTAGCTAGAATGGTGGAGATGGCATCTGGGGTCACTGAATGCGCCATCTCTCTCTGCGGGGATTTCTCCGATCAATCGCAACCGCTCAGAAATGATGTATAGCACTGGGAGCGGCGGCGGGAAGCTAAGGATGAGGGGAAATGAGGAGTGGTGCGGGGGTGGTTCTTGTAGGACTTGATGGGCGCGGGAATGCTTTGGTAGAGCTCCGAAAATTTGCCGCTGTTTTTTTTAGGTGTATGGCGGGGAATTGCTTTTCATTTCCGAAAAGAGAAGGGGTAGGATCTTCATATCTGGTCATCAAGTTGCCGCCAAAGTAAAGAGGTTTGGTTTGAAATATTGAAGGTTTTGCACTTTATCTCTTATTATACTTAGGAATAAATTTCTAAATTAATCTATTTTTCCAATTCAGTTCTCAATAAGTTTTAATTACTAACGTGCTACTTTATAATCAAGATTTATTTCTCAGATAGTCTTTCGTAAATAATGTTACTCGAATGATGAATAATTAAAGAATATTTTGGTATTTTTATCATCTAAATTTAAAGTATATTCTCGAAATGATCAATTCTATATAATTAAATGTAAAATTAAAAAAAAATATTGACTGTATATAATCGATGAAATATAAAAAGCGTATAAAAATCTTTTAAAATTTGAATCAAGTACACATTTTTAAATAGAAAAAAATATTTTAGGAAAGCACTTCATTAGATATGATTATTTTAAGAACTTACTCTAAATTTGGCTGATAAAAAATACCAAAATACTATCTAATTAATCATCATTTAAGTAACATTATTTACGAAGGACTATCTAAGGAATAAAAGAAAACCATGTAGGTAAGGTGTAAACGAACCGAAACAAATATCAAGATATTTGAATTTGTATTTGTTTAATTTTTTCAAATACGAATCCGAATAGGAATATGAGACGAATTAAAAATAAAATTTGATTTTGTGTTTGATTAATATTCGAATACTTAATGAATTCTAAACAAATATTTGAATAATCATACTCCACAATTTATATGATGGACCAACATATAGATTTTGAATTATTAAACTTACGATACTTATTACATTATATCTAAAAAAAGTAATACATTTGCATCTTACATTAATTATATTATACTCCCTCCGTCCTATAAAAAAGTTCCCATTTAGATGTATTTTTGGTCAAACAATTACATGCTTTGACCATAAATTAAATATAATCTAAATTAAGAAATGCTAAAAAAATTTGAGATATCAAAACTAGATCCTAAGATGAATCCAATTATATTAAATTTATTTTATAATTCAATATACCTTTCTCACAATTTATAGTCAAAGCGTGTAAATATTTAACTAAATACGATTCAAAATGGGAACTTTTTTGCGAGACGGAGGCAGTATAAAATATAACTATTAAAATTCATATGCTTTAGATTTTGGTATTACATTAATTTGTCGAATTCATAGTACTTTAAATACACTTTATGTTATACTTTGTATTAGTTTGCTTGACTATAAATCTTGAAAACATAGTTTGCGTGTATATGCATATATTCGAATACTCGAATATCATCCGAATCGATCATCCAAATCGATTATACGTACCCCTATTTGTATTTGTATTTGTCTAACATTCAAATCAAAACTAATATTTGAATTTGAATGATGCGAATTCGAATCATTATATTCAAATACAAATCACAAATCGAATTTAAAATATTTGATTTGTTTACATCCCTTTGATGTAGGTAATTAAAACTCATTGAGAATTAATTTGGAAAAATACCTTATTAGGGAGAACTATTTTGGGAATTTATTCTAAACTTAACTTTTTTATGAATACAGTGGGGGGGAGACCCACCGCGTCACTAAGAAGAGCGGGGAAAGCGGTAAGATATCAATGTGTTGGGAAAATAAATTTGTCATGCACCGTGCTAAGAAGACAAGGAGAACATAAAATGTATATGGTTATCCAATCCCATTAGTATGAGGCCTTCTGGGAAGTGCCTAGAGCGGACAATATCATACCAATGCAGGGTTGGGGTGAGGATACGCGTGGTCCCAGCATGTAGTATCGGAGCCCGATTCGTGCAGGCTCGAGTCGCATATTGCATTGTGCGGAGTTCTTGGTGTGCGCGGTGTGACAACGTGACTGAAGGTTTAATGCCTTGTCTTCGTACCCCAAATTCAATGGTGGAGCCAAGGCCATAGGATCAGTGCCAAGTGGACCAACGTCTCTGAGACTAGTGTGTACTAGACGAGCGGAGGCAGCACATCCATCGACATCAACGTGTCAAGGACGACTTCAACGCTCTTGTGGACAAACCCAACACTAAGAGCGGTATAATTGGGATGAATGTGCCACCCACACCCCTACAAAACCCTTTCTTGGATAGAAGTATTGACAAAATGAGCATCATTGTTAATAACAACTACCTCAGGGAATTCATGAAGGAGGATACATCGTTGATGTCAGAGAGGGAGCTAAAAATCACAAATGGAATTATCAACGCGGCTCATGCCATAATTAAAGAGGGGAAAAGAGTTGTATTTTTCTTATTTTGTAAATCCATATGTTTTTTTGTGCTGCTGCTAGGAAGGTAAGCCCGGGGAGCAGAATTGGTTGAGAACATGCATCGACCATTTGGGATGCATAGAGAGAATTGTGAGTGCAGTGGGGCAGTTAAATGTCCGAAGAAAAAGGTTATGTTCTTTTTTTTCTTCTCCATCTCTTCACAAAAACTAACGATAACAACAATAATAGTAATCAATACATCAAAATATCCCGCCTATAGGCATCTAATTTTGAAATTCCACCGGTAGGGAACCCAAAGCGTATGTGAGGTCTCAAGAGCGAAGAACTTGCTTTGATTCCATGATAAAACTAAAAGTATGGAAGAAGAAAGAAGTATTTATCATTCTTATGTTCTCTTCCATCTGTTCCCATGATTACATCCATAAATACAACAACCATTAGTGCTAAGTACTAGCTATTACAAATAGAAAAAGATCCACTAAGCATAATTAGCAATATGAAACACAGATCACTTAATTATCCTTTAAATACCTTCAAATTCTTTTAGATTTCCACGTAATAGTAAGTGTTTCTTGTTATGGGAGCCGCTAACGCCAAATCCAAAAGATTGGCTCATCTTGTTTTGGGATATTATACGCCACTCATTTATAGTATATACTTATGTGTAAGGCAATATTAGTGTATTGAATCATTATGATCATATCATCATCCACAACGATTAGTTTAAACCATATATCTGAAAATTAGAAGTGATTCTCTATTTCATACGACACCAACGATGCCAAACACTATAAACACATTAAAAAGTACCACTTCTAATTTTCATGGTAAACAAGTGTTGGATCAAAATCAACAATAAGTACCTTTGATTAAGCAAATGTTAACACACAAAAAATTCCAAATGTTTAGAGCATTCAACCAGAAACTTAGTGATAAAAGATTAGAGATGTGTGAGTAAGAATCTGCTGAAGTTGAAAGGCAACAAATCATCTAAATAAAGATGAAAAGATGACACAATCTTTTAACAATAAAAGTAATGCTTAAAGATTAACAGTTATAGTGCATATATCAAGTATAAAAATTGATCATATTCGAACGTTGGTCGACAACTTAAAAAGGCCAAAATAATATTTTGAAAGAAATTTACACAATAGAATGAACTAAATTGGAGGGGGGGGGATCCCGAGAAAGGTAAGAATCCTCCCGAGTAAGTCATACTTAAATAGTTAAATAACCACCTACGTTTATGCAACCAGAATCCGAACAATGCTGGCTGGCTGCAATGGCATCCTCAAAATTTTCTTCAACAAAAATGTGTATGAAGGCCATCAGCTGCTCTGCAGGCATCAGCATGGATGCAATGTTAGTATACTTCTATTAATGTGACATTGTCTCTTTAATCTTCTTGAAAGCCAAAATTCCTCAAGCCATCTTCATTCTATAATAAGCAACTCTTCTTAGTATAATATATATAGTATCCTGCCAAGAGGAAAGGAATAATAGTAAATGCAAAATTACCCAGAAGTTATCTTGACACAAGATGTGGAGTTGAGTAATGCTCCCTCCATCCCATAAAAAGTGTCATGTTTTTCTGAACTAACTTTTGTTAAAAAAAAGTCTAATTTTTGAACAAAAGAATCCCAAGTCGAATGTATTAAATTTCACCAAACCAACAAATAAATCTCAAAATATAGCTATTTTTAACGAATTTCAAAAGTTGCAAGTTGCAACTTACTAAAAAGGAAACTGTGCCATTTTGAAAAAGGAAACCTTTTCAGAGATCGAAGGAGTTGGAAGTCAATGAAATTACCATGAAATCTTCTAAGAACAGAATGAGCAACACATGAAGCACGAAAACCACTGTTTTGGTGCAGCATCTACATTATATTCAGGCTGAGGAGCCTGCTGTGGGGATTCTCCCTCTTGCTCGGGTGATGGCAACGGCTGTGGCGGCTGCTTTTTTTCAGTCTTTAACTTTGCCGAACCGTCTTTGTCTATTTCCCCTGACAATCTTTATTCATTGAGACGGATTTAGCAACACTTTTATTGAATTGCTATTTTTTTTTTTAAAAAAGAAGTATTTCCTTATTGGTGATGGTGATTCCATATTAGAAAATTATATGAGAGGACCCTTTTTTGCAACAAGGGAGCACCACGCTAGCATGCTTCATTATGAGTACGTTGCTGAAAATGGAGCATTGGGATTTTGCCACGTTATGAAGTGGCAGCATCCTAATGCTTCATTTCAACACTGTGCTCCATATGACTCCCTTTTTAAAATGCATTACTACTTACATTGGGAATGCAAAGGATCTTCCACTGGTGCCACTCTCGTCAGAGTAACGAGAAGTCCGTTCCTCAACATGACATTTTTCCTGGTTTTGATTTTTACTGTCCCTTAAGAAATCTCTCATGGATGTCTCTGCCGTGTCTACCCCTCCAGCCCTTGCCAACTCAGTTATATGGGCAGATGAAGGCCTCACTGGAGCGATATCCACCGCTGCAGGGGCCACCTCAAAAGCTTCTTCATCTTCACAAAACTCTTCAGTCTTCAAAAGGAATTCATCTCTACAAAAACTGGTATTGTCCAACTGGATACTGAATAATGACTCATTAGAGCACATACTCCATTCCAGTTCTTTTCTGGACTTCCCTTGAGCAAACACAGAAGATGGAATCCTATATCGTACCTCATGTACAGCAGGTTCTTCCATCACTTGGGTTGGTGGAGATTCTGTCGCCAACAAGTTGCTGGGAACTTCTTCTTTAGCCGTGGATTTGTTTTTATGACCACTCTCCACAAAAGGACTGTCCAGAGGAGTGTCGGGAGATGAACAGTTAGAGGAGAATGAGGTGTTCAACTTCTTGCTTGAAGAGAGAATGTTAATAGTTCCTCCAACAGGGTGCTGAGTTGTTGGTGACTTTTCACCATTACCAATGCCATTCTGTGATTCCATAGCTTTAGCTGGCTGACTTGAAGCATTTTCTGATGGTTCCATAACTTATATACCTGCTGTGAAATACTGAAATAGGTGGGTCAGTAAACCAACGCCAGAATTATGAATTTGAAGATCCCAAAAGTATACCCCTCCCCATCCAGAAATTAGTCGTCCACAGTCTAAAGAAATCTCATTTTCAATAAACGTGTTTAAATGTCTAATAAATCCTTCAAATGAATTTGTCCCTCATTCATGTCAAGAGTGCTCATATCTTTTCTCTAGAATGATCTAGACACTTCATCATAATTTCTATATTGGACATGTGATTCCAGACAAACAAAAACAAGAAAGTGGACAACTAAATCCAAACGGAGGGATCACTTCATCTCCTATAAAGATACTAGTAAAAGTTTAGAACATTACTTCCAGTAATGATATTCAAATATAATAAACCTATAAAAAAAAGTCACCAAAATAATTCTACAAATTTACTTTTCCTTGATTGAGAAACCAATTCGCAAAATTCTTCCAACTTAACCACAAAAAGATTACCAATACAGCTTGTGTGTTGCTTCATGGAAAGGTTCACAACGCACATTTTATTACAGAGAAAACGTCTCTCCACATCCCTAACATTCACAAATGCGGTTCTATAAACATGAATATAAGCAGATGAAATATAACCCTAAGATCAATTAAACCTAGGAAAATACTGGATAAGACAGCGGAAAATATTCGAAAATTTCTTGTGAATTATGAGCGGAGGAAAAGCCTGAGAATTGAACGGAGAATACCGGAGGAGAGTGGGGCGCCGGAAGCTGGCCGGGAAAACCAGCGGATGAGGGGCGCCGTTGGCCGGCGGATTCAGGTGCTACGCAGCCCTCGCATTTCCAAAAGCTGCGTAGAAATTGATCGATAAATTGCCGGAGCGTTTTCTCCCCCACCCCAAAGAAAGGAGAAAAGGTTACAAATTCTGTACAAACCGAACGGCCCTCTGGAGAATCACCCGAAATACAAGCTTTGTTTTTTTTTCTGTTTTCACCCGATAAACTCGCGCCCTTTTTCTTTTGTTGCTTAAATCATTTTTATGAGTAGAATTAGAAGTCACCCAACAAAAAAAAAAAAAAGACAATCCCATCTCCTAACGTAAATTGAGTATTATTTACACTTTTTTTTCATTTTTTTTGTGGAGTTGTAAATAATGGACTCTCCATTTAATATTTCCAAAAGTCATATGCTTAGCAGTGTCAGCTCAAGTGTGAGATAAGTAGCACAATCAGTCCTGGTCTTTTTTTGGAGGCCCTGCATTCTGTTTTTTTCAGCCTCTATCCTAAATATTTGCCACACTTGTATTCCCGAGATAAAATATTAAGTTTTTTCAATTCATTTTATTTACATATTGGTATAGAAATAAAAAATAAAATTTACATATCAAAAAACTAAATGAAAGTTCTTCGAAATCAGAGGTGTCAAGAATATTTTATTTTCTCAAATAACCAATAAAAATGTAAAAACAAACAAAAGTTCCCGCGACTGCTGAAAAAGAAAGTGTGACAAATATTTAGGGACGGAGGGAGTATATGCATAAAGTTTGACCGGATTTATTTGTAAGTAAAAATTATATATTTAAAAACTAGGTAAAATAGTTCTATAAAATAAAAGGTGGCATAACTATATTGTACGAAATATTATGAAATGACTAGTGAAGATAATTAAAAAACTAAACTTAAATAAAACTAGAAAGTGTGAATAGTGTATAAGAAGAACCAAATTGGACGGGAAATTATATATATATATATATATATATATATATATATATATATATATATATATATACACACACACATATATATACTAGCAATTTCACGCGCGTTGCGCGGGTTTCAATGCCCGATCAATATTTTATGCAAGAATTATTTATTTGTTTCGTTCATGATATAATTTGAATTTTTTGGTTTTTTCCTTAAATGTTTCATGAAAAAGGAAGTTGAGGACACAAGCATCTATGATTAAATATTGATGAGGCTGTGAACAATCGATTAACCACTGATTGAAGCGGTTATTAAACAATGACAATAATTTCTAAAAATCATTAGAAATGGTAAGGTGTAATAGTTTCACAAAAAATTGGATTGCACAGTAGTAAAAGTATAAATTTAAGACAACTATAAACACCTCTATATTTATAATAAGATAGCCTTGGCCATCAAGCATGGATGAATTCATCAGTATTGAGTCATATTTTTGGCATTATTAGGGGTTGTTTCAATATCAAATGCAGAGACATTAACTTCAAACGTTGCAAGAGATTTCCTCGCCTTTCCAGCATAACCCCAGAACTATATACACTTACATCTGACAAGAGAACTGCAAGTTAGTGTCGAAAGCATAAAGAATTGATGATGAATACAATGATTGATAAAAGGAAGTGCATGAGTATATTCTATATAAAAAGAAAGAAGATTACCATTGTCAATAGCAAAGCAAACATGATAAAGTACATCATACTCAGGGAAATCATTTATACAATAAGGATAATCTTGAATTCCATGCTTATTGCAGTTGAGATTTATTATATAATGAGATCTGATGTGCTATCATAAAAATGGGTTGTATTTGATGCTCCAAAGCTGATAACCAAAAATATTGACACATCAGAGATTTTGGAAAATAAAATTAAAAAATAATCGTGTAAATGAAGTTACTTAGTATTTGTTTGAGAAAATGACCTTAGAATATAAGAGTTCAAATGAATTTACTAACATCATTGGAAATAGGTTGTGTTTCAATAATCACTCACATAAATGAAAACAAGCACGTAAAATTTTTAAAAACAATCACTAATGTGAAAAAACAAACAACAATTAGAATCGATAAGTGGAAAATAACAGGAAAATCAGAATCGATAAGTGGAAAATAACAGGGAATAGGTTGCTACATGAGAGCATCCTGTGTAAACCCGTGCATAAATGTTTTTGCATCTATTTACCATGTTGAGTCACACAAATAGCACTATTAAGTTTTATGTCATTGGGCCCAACATAGATGGGATTAAAGTGGTGATGGCATTCACAAACTACACTCTCTAACTGGGTGAGAGGGATTGAACCTATAGCTCATAAGTTAGCCTCAGAAATACTCGTGTACATATAAAACCCAATCATATAAAGCCATAGACAAGGCTAAATGTGGAAGAGGCTTCACAGATTCCTGGCCAACTCTGATGTATTCATGTATTATTCTTTTGCTTCAATGAAATCACTCTTCTTCAGTGAAATCAATGTTTATCACTTTAGCCAAAGTGGGTCTGATCACAAACCAATCCTTCTGGTATCCAAACAAATTAATGTGAAAGGACCAAAGAGGTTCATTTATTAAAATGCATGGTTCACGCATGATTTTTTTTTTGAAATTGTTAAGTAAAAAAAGAAGCTATTTAGCTTTTTATTACAAAATAAGCCATTTACTTGAATAAACCTGATTTTAAAAATATTTTCTCTTTTTTTTTCAAATTGTGTTTGATCTCACTGTTTGCATTTTATTGCTTTCAATTTCTTTTTTTTCTTATTAGAGCATCTCCAAGGGAGATGCAAAAATTTGGGAAACTATATTATAGCTTCTCAATACTGGTATAGCAACTCAATTTTCACTGTCTCTCTAACCATGTCATCTATTTTTAACACTTATAATTTTTTATTATTTAATTATAATCAAAGGAAGAAGAAGAGAATGGTTTATCTGTTTGAAGGAGCTCAGGAAATAGGAGAAAGGCAAAAGCCAGGGGACGTGAATGAAGACGAAGATATGAGGCGTTACTCGTTAGCCTTCAATATCTTCTGAGCTGCTGAGTGTGGATATTGATGGCCACAAAGGATTCAGCTTCACCCATAATGGTGATGGAGATAGATAGAAAATGTAAGCTCTCACAAGAACCAGAGGTTCATATTGACCAGGCATGCATTTAAGTACTCCTTCAAGGGATTAAGGATAATATCAATCTCTTCAGAATTTCACTTAGGCCAAAAAAATACTTGCAAGCCTTAAATGGAGTACAAGTTTAAAAATTCTAAGAGCAAGCCATTAGGGTTTCAAACTTTCAAACGAGACAATTAAAAGCTTTGAAGTTATTGATCTACCTGAGGTGGAATGGACCAAATATTCACTCTTTTTTGCATTGCAAGAGGATATGGAAGCTTTTTTGGAAAGTTTGGGAGAATTTCAGAGATGGCAAAGATTTGGATGCTTAAATCAAAGTTGTGATTGCAGTAATCCAAAACTTAATTAGAAGCTAAATACATTAGGGTGTAAAATATATAATTTCATATTCAGTAATCAATGAATTCATTTTTTGACAGTGAATTTACAACTTTCAAATGATATTCTGAAGGAACTATACTTACCTTAAGAATGATGTTTGAAATTAGAGCAAATGGAACGGAACCTGAAATGTTAAAAAAGTACAGTATTCAGATCCAAGAATGAAATCAAAATGGTCAAATATATAGAACAATCAGAACAGGAAAAAACAAATAATAATCAAAAGCTATAATTGGAAAATAACTGGGAAATCAAAACAGACACAATGGATAAAGCTAGAAGCAAAGTAGACAAGGGTGATTCATCTCATCTCCCAAAACCAATTATAAATAGCTAATATATACGCGGAGTAGTAAATAAAGAATGGCTATATGTCTTGATGTAAAAGAAGATTACACCGCATCACCTCTGTCTTGATGTTCCATTACATCACCTCACTCAGATTGCACCGCAGCCCGGAATCAAATTGCAACTCATCCCACTCCCAAATTGCATCGCAAATTAGCCCACCCCAACTCCATGCATTTGTCGATTCAAGCATTTACTCCGAGTGTTGGTTGGCGTGGGTCGAATAGAAAGAATTATATGGAGTGGGAAGTGGAGAATCATTTACTCTCAGCATTATCAAAAAGGTAGTGGGTAGTGAGGAAGGCCTGTTTGGACGCAACAAAAGCAAAGTAAAGGGGGAAATGTAATTTTAACAGAGCTAGGGGCATAGTGGGTTGTATTTTGTATGTTACAACTCTAGAAACTAAGAGTACACATTTTTTGGATGGAAAAAGGCCATAATATTAACGGGTACCTAACTGTTTTCTGCATTTATAATATAAGTGATTAAAAATGAATATTTATGTCTAATTAAATTGTGTTATAAACACACGCGTTACATTTTGAGCTCAGATCGTGAATACAAACGTGTGTATTCAATCTTGTATATAGAGTGATAGTGTTGTTTGACCTGCACAACAACAAAGATATTCGAAATAAGAAATTCCATATACTCAAATTTTAACATTAGATAGAACCTATTTTGTTTTTAAAGTGAAATAGATATGCATTTTTGTTTCATGTGTTTTTGAAAGGTTTTACAAGTGCTACCAAGATGTTATTTTGAAATCATAGAAGTGGTGTACATAGACATCACAACTTATTTCTTATACCTATCATCAATCTCTTTGCCTAATAGGACAAGGCATTTTAATTTTTGAAAGTATTTTGGCTCAAGGTGCCTATATTAATTATATGGAAGTATTTATTTAATCTCTTTATTTTTGTCATCAATAAAATTGAAAGAAAAATTCAAGAAATCATTGAAGTTGATGGTATTTTGAATCTCTTGCTTTTTCCATCAATAAAGTTGGAAGAAATCAGAGAATCTGATGGAGATGCGAATAAGGTTTTGGTTTTTGGAAACTAAATATGCTCTCCATATATCTATGGCAAACTACATATCGTAGTATATATTAGTGAAATATACATAGTACACGCTTAGCACTCTGTATCGCAGACGTATGACCTAGAAATAACTGTAAAACTAATCAAAAAACAAAAATATATGGAAGGTGGTTTGATGAAAATAATAGTAAATCAAATTAAATGTATCGAATGTTGAATAGAGAAATAATTCATACTTTCACAAAAAGTTTTTGCCTAGAGGATATTGAATTGAAAAATATAGGAAGAGGAGGTAATGGAAATGTATGTTAGATATATGAGAGATTTTGTAACACTATCACTCCTAAATTCCATGAAAAAGATCTAGGATTTTAGAGGCATACCTGATGTGATCACACAATTGTGTCGAGGTCTAAATGGAATGTGAAACAAGTGTTAAGTGATCCGCCTATCTGTGATGATTAAAGTAGTTGATGTTAAGTGATCCGCCCAACTGTGATGATTAAAAGTAGTTCAATGGAGCATGACTTTGTTGTATCCAATTGAGAATAAGTTACATATTTTGAACAACTAAACAAGACAATAACCACTTTTGATAGGATCTTCAAACATATGTGTAAGATTTTTGCCTTTTTTTGTCAACCAACTACAACTGCGATCAAAGTAAAATAGTAACACCAAAAGAATGAATTAAGATTTTTCATGATACAAAATGGTACGTAAAGGAAAAGTTAGTTAATGTATTTTTGGCTTCCATAATGCAAAATCTGTTTTAGGTTTGTTCAAGTACATTTAACAAATAGAATTTTAGAGACCATGTAAGCATGATTTAGATCTTTTGTTTTTTGTCATCTTTCTACAACTCTCATTAGAGTAAATTCAGTATCAAATAGCCACAACAGAAGAATGAATTTAGATTGTTCAGAACACATAAAAGAACACATAAAATGGTAGGTAAATGAAAAGTATATGTATTTTTAGTTTTTATAGTGCAAAATATGTTTATTGTTTTAGGTTCATTCAAGTACATTTATCAAATGGAGTTTTAGAGACCATGTATTACACTCATTTCATAAGTTTATAATTCCCTCTGGCTGCAAAGTTTATTTGCTCATTTAATGAATTATTTTTCGATACACAATGCAATGCACACATTAATTTTTTATTGTGAGTATCTTTGCATAATGTAATGACCAAGAAAAGTGACATTAAAAAATATAGGTACTACCAACTACGATACCATATCCAACAAGCACTCTAAACCTCTACTTCACCTATCATAACTATCTTACTATCCAAGACACAGATTCAACACAATGAATCACTTCTATCATGGGGGTACGAAGAAATTAACTTGAATAAAAGAGTAATATTTATTACCTTTCAAACTTTTCTTTTTTTTTATAAAATAAATATCTAAAGGAGCATATAATTATGGGTATTTTAATCCATCACTTGTTTTCTCTAAAAAGCAGCAAAAAATTAAGGAGCATATTTGAAGCTATAAATAACCAATGGCATATTTAAAAAAATCAGGTCACTCAATGTCAAAAGTTCTTTGGTGAAACTATTATTAGGGGGGGAGACGAACCTGACACTTTTGGCTAAAAACAAATAGAAGGCACGTCATTACTTGCACGCATAAGGTAAAATATGAAGCCATAACTCTAGGAACCTCAAAAATTATTGGTAAAGAAGAATACCTAGGAATCTCATAAATTATAGCATATGAAAATCCAAATAATCTTTAATATCCAGTACTATAAACTTCAGTAGAGGAATCTCTTTAAACTAAATTTTGATAGAACCATGCTAGAAATCTAAAAGTTTACCCTCACATGCAACCTACACTTTTCTTAATGCACACCCTAGGAGTAAAAAAACTTAATCCCGTGAGCGAACAACTAAACCTCTACACTTGAAGGGTGAACTTAAATCAGCATCAACAAATCACAACTGCTTAAGGTTATTACTACATATACATATGAATATGGAAGCACAACTGAGAGTGTGTCGTGAAACTATCTAAGGTTTAAAAACACTCGGAGGTAGCAACCTTCACAAGGATTAGGAAACAAATTTCTACCTCACAGTAATAAGAACAAATTTCTACCTTCACTTTTCCCAAGGCAAAAATCTTGAATGGGGAAACATTTTTCTACCTAACAGTAATAAAAACACTCTGTTTAGGAAACAGATTCATGCCTAACAGATTCCCACTTTTGTTGGAAGCTAATGGTTGTTCTCTGTTCTTAACATTCTATTACAGCCTCTAAAATCAACAACACTACAACTAAAACTTCATAGTTTGTTGCCTTTGTGGTTAGATTGAAAAAATTTATCAATGTTAGCCAACAAAGACATAAAACATAGATAGTGCTAAAATTTGGGGTTTGGGCTCTACTTCTAAAATTTCCCGTTGGTGTCAAATCAATTTGTTTGTCAAAAGAAGCTGATAAGTGGATAATTGTTTTCAAAATAAAAGGAGGTTTAATAGATTAAAGTAAAGATATTGAATTAGAAAACAAAGTGTGTGGTACAACCATCTAAGCTAAAATGAGTTACAGTTGACTTGAAACTCCTACCCACCAGAAATCATATTTACAAAATGTATAGCAGGATTGTCACATTCGTCAAAGCTTAAATGACTACTACACTAAAATCCATGAATGTCAAAGATCAAGTTTTTAAGTAAGAAGAGGTACAGATGAAAATCAATTCAATGGGCAAAAAGGGACCCAAATAGACCAAGATAAAAAGGATCCTATTCTTTACTAACCAACTGTGTTGTTTGAGATTTCTTTGGAATTGGAATATAAATAAAATTCTCTTTGGCAGTTCCATATTTTCCTTTCCTTGTACTCCTAGTTCTCCCAGGTCTAACATCATCAAAATCATGGAATGGGAAAAACTGCCCAGTATTTTTTCACTTCCTTGCCATCTCAGAATCCTAGAAATTAACTGCAATTAGTTTGCATTTTGCAACATGGCTTTGCATGAAACACTTAGACCAATAAAAGAGGATTCTTTCATACTCAATTGTTAAATAGAAATCTACATTTTCTTTACCAACTCGGTAGAAGTGCCAATAATATTTTCTGTATTAGGGGTGTAATAATTCCATTTTCACTCTCACTCTAGTAACATGAGTCTTAGTATGATTTAGTGACAAAATTAAACCTTAGAACTTTACCAGTATGCCTACAAATCTTCATGCTTGCTATTTACTCGACCATGTTATTTTTTATATGGGTGATCATTCTGCCATATAAACAAATTTAGCATAATAAATTTCAAGACACAATGGACAATTGGTTATTACACATCATATATTACACAATAATTGTGCAAGAACTCTCTAACTCCTAACTTCAATGGAAGTGAATGGCCCATTGTCCATTTTAAATTAAATTATTAGTCTCAAAAAAATTGAATATATAAAAAAGCAGTAAAATCACACTTGTAAACAATTTAAAATTGAATTTCAAATCATTTATAAGATTAGAAGGGTATAAAATCAAAATATATTTACAAAGATTCCCATCATTTTGGTCATGTGAAAGTGGAATTGAATACTAACACAGATTATCTACAAAAAGATTTATGAAATTGGTGATCACATTTTCCTCTAAAATTCCACATCTCTCTACTCAGCGAGGCTCTAATAATTATTTAGCCCAACAAAAAGATTAGAAATAGGTCATCAAGAACGCATAGGATAAATGTCTGTAAAGAAAAAAATCTTTATAAACAATTAATCTAAATAAGATTAATATTCTCTAAAATAAATTTGTCAAACATGACCAGTGAGGTACACGTGATAAATGTCATCCAAATACAGAAAGTCCTGGTCTATTGTCTACGGATCAGAATGCAGCCTACGCTGAAATGCATATGACTGTCATTCATGATCAAATAGTGTTCTTGCTTAATTACTGGATCTGAAATTAAATTCTTACAACTAAACATGACATACGATGATCATTTGTTAAATAATGGCTGATAATAGCTCAACCATCATTTTTCTAGCTGATAATAGCTCATCATTCGTTGTCTTTGAGGAGGAAGGCTAAACACACAAAACTAAAATGAATAAAAAAATCATTCTGCGTGGCATAAATGGACATAACGGCGTAGGGTTAAAGTGTGAATTAAAAATCTAAGTACAAGATCCAAAGCTAAATGTACTATTTTTTGGATGGAAAAAGAGCATAATATTAAGAAGTGCCTAAACCTCTTTCACATTTATATAATACAGAAGGATTCAATATTTGTATGAGTGAGGCAAGAGATACAAAAAGAATAAATAGTGAGGGCTGTAAAGGCAAAAGTAATTACACATTGGGTGTATAGGAAAAACAATTAAATTAGAATTTTAAAGTATTTGTCAATTTCATTGTTTGGTTCAAATATTAATTCAATAGAGCTAAATTCTAAGAATTGACTCATTTATGATGAAAAAATACTGATCATATTTTGTAAATAAGTCAACTCATGCAAGTAAAAAAAATGTGAAGTATTAAACCATAAAAGAATAGTACCACAGTAAATATTGTTACTGAAAGTTTGAAGAAATCCATACCAGAAAAATAGAAACACCACTTGATATAGAAACAACATTAAAAATCAGAGACATTGATGGGTTTGTATGCTGTGAGTAAGATTATATGAGCAGATCATATCAGAATCATACCTAAGAAACACTAATCACATGTAAAAATCGAGAAGGTAGAAGATATATAACCGAGCAAAAAACTGCTGGTTTGGGGCCCCCAACACCATCTATTTTCCAACCTAAAAATTACACCTTAAATTGAAATTTCCAACAATAATTTATCATTGTATAAAAGTATAATTCTTCAAAAATCAAATATCCAACAAATCAAACAGCACCAAGCTAACCAATTAATCCATATACAAACAATATTCACACTTTCAAAAATCCCTAAAAATTGGAATTCAATAAATATATAGAATATACAGAGAAGATTATTAGGGATTTGGGTTAGAGATGCATTGGGTGTACCTCGTCGGAAATAGACAGCAGCAGTGGCTGGAAACTTGAACGGTGAGCGTCGAGACGGCAACCTAGAGCTCTGGTCAGAAGCTGCAACTCTGTGGACCTAGTGTTTTGGTTATAACACGGAAAGAAATCGAAGGGATTAGCAACCTGAGGTTGGAAGCAACTACTTTAGGGATTTGGAGTTCTGGCTAGAATAAGCGAAGAGGGCGATGGATTAAAGCTACACCGTAAAGATTTTTGGGGAGAAATGAAAGCTGATCAAGAATTCTTAAGTTGTGTGATCTTTTTAGGGTATACAGTTGGGGCGGTAAGAAACTAACGGAGGTAAATATCAACGAGGACAAATGAGGAAAAATTTCGACATGTACAACCTCTAAAGCATAAAAGTACAAATATATTGGATGGAAAAGGTGCATCTTTACCAAGGGTACCAAACCCTCTCTCCCATTTATATATTATAGAAGGATATATATATATATATATATATATATATATATATGTATGTATGTATGTATGTATGTATGTATGTATATATATATATGTGTGTGTGTGTGTGTATTTATGTATATATATATATGTGTGTGTATATATATATATATATGTATGTATGTATGTATGTATAGGGGTTGGTTCAGGTGAAAATATCCTTAGTGTGCAAATACTAAAATGGTGCATTTTCATAATTTCGCGATGTATTTTACAATTCTAGTAGTGCATTTCTAGAAAATTCAATTTATTTACAAAATTGCCACCGCGCTTTTTTCAATTTTTTCAGAATTTTTTATTTTTAATAGCCCTTAGATCTTAAATATAATGGATCATATACATTCTCATTTCTTTCACTAAGCACCATTTTCATTTGATCCAAAATCTACACACACACACAGACAGACACACACACACATACATATCCTTTATATATAAATTTGAGAGTTTGGTATCTAAGATAATGACATGTGTCAAACTTGAAAGAGTGACATGTGACATATTTAGAGAATGACATGTGGCAATCTTTAAAGATTTATTTTCTTTTTTAGTATTTCATCTCCTTCTCCTTCCTTCTTTAATTATTTTATCTTTTTTACTACTTTTTTTTAAAAAAATGATAATTAATTATTTTGAATTCATGAATCGAAATTTAGAATTATTGGAATTTTTAAATTTTAATAAAAATTTATTTTATCATAAGTATACGTGAATATTTTTTAATATCTGGCTCAGATTTAATAAATTATAAAATTTTCGAACAAACTTCTAAGCATATGACTATTTTTTAAAAAATAAAATGTTGTAATCATGTCAATTTTAAATCATACAATTCATCAGAAGATCTAAAAAAATTATGTTATTTGTCAAATGATCAACAAAAATATATTTAAAGAATTAGACAAGAGAATTAAAAGCAAAACAAAATTAGAATTTCATGCATTTATTTGAACAATCAGTCAATATGAGAAAAAGGAAATAAAATGAGAAAGAGTATATTTCTCATTTTATGAGAATTACATATTTATTTTTTATATTCAAATAAATAAAATAATATATATAATTCATTTATTCATATTATAAACAAAAATTATATTTTATTTTAATCAATTACATTATATAATTCACTTAAATCAATTATCATATCCTTAAAGATAATAAAAATAATATATTATTACATTTAAATGATAAAGCATCTAAAAGCGTATAAAGTATAAATTTTCTTGTAATTAACTAAAATTATAAAATTAAAATAATTACTTACAAAATTACGTATAGTAATCTTTTTTATACTTGAACATTATTATAACCCAACCATCTCTTTTTTTAAATGATTAATGTAATTTTTAAAATATGTTGTTTGTTTTTTATTTCATATCAATATTGAAAGAACTATATTCAAAACTAACTTCATTTTAACTTATCATAAACAAACATTAATGTGAAATTTATTTAGAGGCAAAAGTAGTGTTTTAAGTAATTGAAAATTTTGTTAGAAATGAAGAAAAAATATTGAATCATGAAAAAGTATTATTATAAAAATGAATATAAATATTTCATAATTAAATCTATTCAAATATTTCATACCAAAAAAGTTTTTCATATTTTATGTCATAAATTATGTGTCGTATTATGTGTAAAAAGTCACATAAGCAATGCATATATGAACTTTCTAAAGATAAAAGTTTTATCACTTTATATAAAGGATTTGTTGAATATTTTTATTCTTAATAATTTAATATAAAGGATTTATTAAAAAAAATTATTTTCAATAATTTTATTTTTGATCAAAACTAAAAGTTTAATCACATGTCAAATACTCCGTAATATTTAATGGAGTCTAGCTCATTAATCAAATGCCACATAATATGTCCCATATTTTGCGACATGTATACCCCATATTGTGCCACATGTCAAGCTCTTATGCATCAAATTCTCAAATTTATATATAAAGGATTTAGAGAATTGAAAATGAGAAGAGCAACAATCTCTAAACATTGAGCATTCAACGTCAAATTGACCTACGATGCTCCTTTGGTAAAATTCTCCAAACATCCAAAACTCCCTACCCTTAGACTTTCCTGCAGCCCCAGCCCCCCAATCACCGATGTGGCAGTGCCAAATCAGGATCAGGGTGGGAGCAGTGCAGAAGGCATGCAAGGTTTCGGGGTTAAAAGAATTAAGAACTATCAATTTTACAAAAAGAGCATTCTAGATGTGTGGGTCATTTTGACATTGTATGTTCAATGCCAAAGGAACCATTACGAAATTAGAAATGTGTTTTTCAAGATGTTAATTTTATGTTTTCTTTGAAGTAAATTTCTATACTTTACACTAACTCAAATACTTATGTGTCATGTTGATTCTATATTTAATTTGAATTTATACATCTATTTAAGAACGTTCTAATTTTTATATTTTGGAAAAAGTAACTTACTGTGCAACATATGAGCATCAATCTAGTTTTATCAAATGATAGATGAAAATATGAAGGAAAGAAAAAATTATTTGATTGCATGACTAGTACCTAAATTCATCTTGATCGCTCATATAGCTCGACGAAATCATAGCATGTCTACTCATCACAAATATTATCTGCCAAATCATAGCATGTCTACTCAATACGAGAATTAGATTCCTTATTCGATTTACGATGTCTAGTTAAAGTTATTTTGGGGCATAGTGAGTAATATTTAGTGATGTAAAAGCATACTAATCCTCAATTCCTCATGTTGGTAACCATGTGGTTCCCAGGTCTAATGAGAACACACTATGACTTGTACAACTATCAACTAATTCACATTCTAGTATCATAAATTCAACCAGGGACAACTTGGTATGATATGCTTACAAAGATTAATAATGTTCCACAACCAAATCAAATAATTGATGAAATACAAAGAATATAATATCATTCCAAGACTAATTCATGTAGGGTGTAAATAGATTCATTCAACAAAGTATGGTAAAAAGAATGCATTTTTAAAACATTAACAAGTTCATAGAACATTGTACAACAAAAGCCTCAAGCAAAAACCGAGTTAAGAAATAAAAAACCACACCTAGCATGACAGAAACAGGCAGAGCTGGCAAAGCTTTCTGATAGAAAGCAAGAAGCATGAGAGTAATCACAAGACCGGCAATGATTGCGAGGTAACAAGCGTATACGGTCATGAAGTCATACATGGCAGCTCTCCCAACTAGTACGCTGTAGAAAATGAAATCTCCCAATCCCAATTTAATTGCACCGGACGAGCCTAACCCGACTCCTTCAGGTGCCATGCCATCACAAGGCCCTTCCTGTGAGTTCAAGTCAACATTTACTATGTGCTGAATTAAAGGCACAGCAAGTTCAGAATCGTCTCTTGCGATTGTAATCGTCTCATTCTCATCGTTCCTGTTGATTGGAGATGAACCCAATATAGAATCGGAGTTTGGGTTTGATTCGGTTGCAGGTCTTTCTCTCCATACCCTCCTTTGTAGGACAGTTCCCCTAGGAATGGAATGGGGATTGAGGACAGGCCTGGCCTCATAAACCAGAGCAGGGATGTCTTCATCTCTTGAGATTGCAAGCTCAACCAATAGCCTCAGAGGCCCAACAGGCAACAAAACTGCAGCAAGATCATACAATGCCATTGCAATGAGAAGCACCCACGTCGTCCATTCGGGCAACAGTGTAAACCAATAGGCAACAAGCATTCCAATGATAACCAAGTACCCTTGTGTAACAAGAATTGCCATTTTTGACATGAACACAGCCAGGACACCAACCACAGTGAAATTGTACAAAACTAAGGAAAACGTCACGAAATCGATGGGAAAGCTAAAATCTTTGATCAAGAAGATTGAGATTTCGCCGCCCATGATCGCCAAAACAAGAAAAGAAGAGAAACCCATGTAGTATTTCAAGAAACTGGTTAATCTGTAATAGAACATCAAGAGGAGAATGAAGGTCACGACAGTGACAACAGCTATGAAAACGAGGGCATTCAAAAGGGCACCTTTCAGCTTGTCCCACGCCGAGTCTGAGCTGCTCTCGGAGTACGCGGCGGTGGCTATGGTGGTGAGCGGCGGCGGGGAGGGATCTGGGTCAGTGTTGAGTACAGATACAAGAAGAACGACAAAGAACATGCAGACTGATACTGGGATGATGATTCTGACGATTTCTTCGCCAAGGGAATCAAGAATGGTGGCGCGTCTTGTGATTTGAGGCATTTGGAACCGGATGAATCGGAGCAATGGCTTTTGGATCCTTGAGTTCCTTTCGTCTCTGCAAATTTGGTTGGAGGTCTGGGACTTTTGACTTTTTCTTGCTATACGCCTATACCCGGAGAATTACATAGTGACTGTTTGTTAAGTACCAATTTTGTAAAATGGACTTTTATTATTTACAAAATAAAATTTTAACTACATTATATATTTATTTTTTATTATTCATTTATTAAAATAATACTCCGTGCAATTTTTTACTTTTACTTTGTAGATCTTTTGATATAAAAGAAACTTTTTTAAATATTTAATTTTAGTTTTAAATTTCATACCAAATTTCTACTAAATTGAATTGAAAATAATTTCACTCAAACTTCATAATAAAAACGAAAAATTTAAATTAGAACGGAAGAAATGCATTTTCTTTTTCTTGTTGTCTTCTTTTCTGTTTATTATAGAACTCGAACGGACATAGCTTAATTAAATGAGGATATAGTGTTAATTCGGGTTTTAAAAAATGACAACAATAATAACATGATCGTTCAATGCATGAAATTCTTACACATGAGATTTTTATATGTAAAAGAGATAGATTTCACTCTCCCAAATCAAACTAGTATTGTTCAATGTTATTAATCAAAACTAACTCTCTAGAGGGACCTTGAGGATTGGGATATACCACAATAATTGTTTATTGAGTGGGGTTTTGTTGACACTGGCTAGCGGTGCCAATGTATTTTTGGAATATCTCTGGTACTTCATTCGAAAAATTGATGATTTGTATTTTCTACCCCCTAACCCACTCTATAAACTCGCCACCCTAGCCCCACCCCTACTCTTCAACCAGACCTGTCCTAAGCCCTTCAAAATGTGTGACTATTATGCATTGCATAGTAGCCACACATTTAGAGGGGGCTTAGGGACAAGACTTGGGTGGGTAGGGTGGTAGTTTAGAATGGTAGAAATTATCAATTTTCTTAACGTAATACTAAAGGTACTCCAAAAATGTAGAGACAACAAAAATAAAAGTCAAACATCTTATTTTTCGAACATATTATTTTATTTTGTAGGTTAGATTTTTTTAAGGTTTTTTTTGTATAACATATACGGAGTATTAAATAATGTATAAAAATGTGTAATCAAACAAAATTTAAGTTTATAATTAATATGTTAAATTTATTATACCAATACCCCTCGTGATTTGGTAAATATGTACTATTATCTTCATGATTTCAAAGTTTACATGGTTGTCTTTGTAATTCTAATATTTCTATGCGAATAACCCTCTTGACTAAAATATATTTCAAATATCAAATGAATAGTTCTGCAGCCTCATATGGTTTTGGAATGACACCAATGCCTCTCTCCTTTTTTCTTTATTCTTATTTTATTTTTTTATTTTTTTAAAGTGAAAATTTAAATTTTCTAACAAAATACAAATTATTTGTTCTTGAAATAAAAATGCAATAAATAATTTAAAATATACTTCATTTATCCCAACCTAATTTTTTTTATTTTTTTCGAATCTATTGGGACTAAATTAAATAATACTCTACAAAGTAAAGTATTTTAACTATTTTTGATATTTAGTTAATTATATACTCATAACATTGTTTTGGATCGATGCGCAACACATTTTTTGACTTATATTTTCATATTCTATAAAAGTATTTTTTTCATATATTTTTCTTTTTGTTCATTTTCTTTTCTTATCTTTTTTCTTTTATTTTAATTTTGATTAAAATAAAACAAGTATTCAGTTATTCGAGAATAAGTATTTACTTGTTTGAAAATAAATGTTCAATTATTTGTAATTGAACATTTACCGTGGATGTACAAAAAAACATAGGAGTAGTATATAGGAAAATGCTAGGGGTACATCCAAACATCCCCACCCCCTCCATCACTACAAAAAAGGCAAGAAAAATTCAAAATAAAAATAAAAACAAAATAAAATGAATGGTAGAAAGGGGAGTGGTGTAATTTAGGGTACACAATTAGAATGCGCTCAGCATATCCCTAGTATATATTGAGCTTTTTGAGCTGCCTCTTCAAGAAATCACCGCACTCGCAATCACAAAGACAATCTACTTTTGATAAAATATTTTAATACAATAAGAAGATTGAAAAACTAAAAACAAAAAGATTAGCATGGAAAATTCAAAATGCACAATTAGGGCAAGCCTGCAATTTGATCAGCCCTCTGTATACCATACCGAATAGCGTGTAAATCCCTCAATAGCAAAGCGAGAGTAACGCCAATCAGAGCTCCGCAGAAGTTGAAGAACACAATAGCTGCGGCGCTCAAGCTCAATCCGCCATTAATGGCCGCAAAGTAGTTCACTAGCGCCAAAATCGAGCAAACCCCGAGCAGAACAGAAATCACCTGATTGATCCTTTCCCGCGTCTGTTTCTCATCTTCTTCTTCGTCGTCGCGCTCTCTAGGGTTTCCTTGCACGTGAATCCACTCATCTGCGATTCTCTCTGGTTTGCTTTTCCTCCTGCCGAGAAGAGGGAAGGGGATGATGAATCCGGACCTCTTAGCGTATTTCTTCATGGACTCGATTCTATTAGATTCGAGAGATAAGAGAGGAATTGAAATTGGACAGAGAAGAATGTGTTGGTGGGATGCTGTGATTGTTATCATTGGTATTTATGGAAGAAATTGGAGTTAGAGTGGTGTCCATGGAGGAATAGGACTGTGTGTATGGTATTTATTTTGGTTTTCCATGAGGTTGAGTTTGCAAAGAATACTACCCGAGTAATGCTCCATCTTTTAGATCAAAAAAATTATTCTCCCTCTATGAGTATTTATCTACTTTTGACTTTTTTCGGTCAAAATGGGTAAATTTTTATTTTAAATTAAATAAAAATGAAATTAAGTATTGATACAAAAATAGTTTTATTAAATTCATTACATCAAATATTTTTAAAATATTATTTGAGTAAATTCCATAAAAGGTCCCAAGTTATAGGTCGTTTTACATATTTAGTCCCTACATATGAAATATTACTAATTTAGTCTTCAATTATTATATTCATTTCCACGAATGGTCCTTTGTTAACATTTCCACTAAGAACGTAGATAAAATTATAAATTCACACTCCTTTCTCTCCTCAATTAAGCTTCCTCTCTCCCCTCGCATTCCTTTCCCAAACCCGTCGCTGAGTTTGAACCCTTGAATCCAAAACCGAAATCATCACTCTTCTCTTAATTATTTGTCTAACGGGTGGAACCCGAATTCGAAAGCAATAACCTTCATGGATGAGTTTTAATGTTTATTTTCTTTACAATTTCTTGAGACTAACCGACAAAACTTATCCATAAAGCTTATTGGTTTTGATTTTAGGTTCCACCAGGTAGGGAAGACTAATAATTGAGAGATGAATGATCATATTAGTTTTGGGTTTAGAGCTTCAAACTTAGCGACAAGTTTGAAAAAGAGTACGAAAAGAGGGAGGAAGCTTAATTGAGGAAAGAGAAATATGAATATACAATATAATCCATGTTCTTAACAAAAACGTTAACAAAGGACCATTCGTGAAAAATGATATAATAATTGGGGACTAAAATAGCAATATTTGATATGTAGGGACTAAATATGTAAAACAACCTATAACTGGAGACCTTTTATGGAATTTACTCATTATATATTAATATTCAATATATATTTTATTTAATTATAGGTCAAAAGTTGAAAACAGTTGACCGAAAAAAGTCAAAACTAGACAAATACTCATGGACGGAGGTAGTAGTATTATTTTCTCGAATTATTTGAACTCGTTTATTGACGACTTTAACTTGACTCAACCTTATTCTTATTTTTTTTCTATTTGTTGATTGTGTTTCAAGAAATAATATCAACATACAAATATTTCATCAGTAACAGGATACGTTTAAAATACAATTTATGCTTTCGTTAGTTTCTCACGTTTTAAAAAGAGTAAATTATATAAAAGGTCCCCAGTTATAGGTCGTTTTACATATTTAGTCCCTACATATCAAATATTACTAATTTAGTCCCCAATTATTATATTTATTTCCACGAATGGTCCTTTGTTAACATTTCCGTTAAGAACGTGGATAAAATTGTATATTCATACTTCTCTCTCTCCTCAATTAAGTTTTCTTCATCTTCTCATACTCTTTCCCAAACTCGTCGCTGAGTTTGAAGCTCCTAAACCCAAAATTTAAATGATCGTTCCTCCAGTTAGACAAACAATTAAGAGAAGAGTGATGATTTTGGTTTAGGGTTCAAAGCTAGAAACTCAGCGACGGGTTTGAGAAAGGAGTACAAGGGAGTAGAATGCTTAATTGAGGAGAGAAAGGAGTGTGAATTTATAATTTTATCCACGTTTTAATGAAAATATTAACAAAGGACCATTCGTAGAAATAAATATAATAATTGGGGACCAAATTAGTAATATTTGATATGTAGGGACTAAATATGTAAAACGACCTATAACTGGGGACCTTTTATGGAATTTACTCTTTTAAAAAAATTGATAAAATTTTACCCTGATACTACATTTTTATCTTACCAAGAATAAATTGCATACAAACATATCTAAAAATTTAAGCTCAAACGTTATACCTAAAGATTTTATATGAATCAAAATTTATTTATAATCAAACATAACTAGCTAACCATCTGTTTTTGGATTGGAATGGACCAAAATTATGTCGAGCCTCGATTATAAGACCAGAGACCAATCAAATTTCACCAAAAAAATCGTAAACTAAAAGAGACACTATGAAATGCAACGAAGGGAGCTCTTACTTAGTTCATATAAAAGTCCACTGAATATTAAGTTCATAGAACAACTTGGCACAAAAATATGTGATAGAAATTTAAACTTACAAAGCATAGAGATATGTTCTAAACATAATTTTCTTTTTTAAGAAATTTATTACTATACAAACATTAAAGAAAAAAAAGATAAATGTTGTGAGATAAAAGAAGTAAATGGAGTACATATACCATACATCTGGATGTACAATATTTCTTGAATACTTGTTTTTGAGCCACTAAAAACTCATTTTCAAATAACAGAATACTCATTTTGGAGTAACTGAATGTTAGACAAATGAGTACTCAATTTCTTAAAAATGAGTACTCACTTGCTCGAAAATGAGCATTCAGTTATACTTAAATGAGCACTCGTCATGGATAAACGAGAGACACCCGTTTGTACAATATATATTGCAAAGTAAATGTTCTATTTTAAAATCATTTATACCTAAAACATGGGTCTTTTTTACGTGAAGTCTCGATCTCATATTATGAGATCTCATATTATGACACTAAGACATTTGAGGAATCATATAGTCCTTCACTATATTATACAAGACTATAAGAGTGCGTTTAGTGAGCAAACAAGATATGAATTTTGATATCTTCAACTATCAAAATTCTTTTGGGTGTTTGGTGAATCCAAAAAAGATATCGAACTCAATTCCTCAAGATACCTTAAATTCTTCAAATGGAGGGTTTCAATATCTCTCAAATTTGAGAGATATCAATATGGAGATTTGACAACCATTGAAATTCTCCGTCACTGGCTATCATTGTCACCGCCAACCAACCTTGTTGCCGGTCATCCTAACTTATCACTAATTAAATCATGATTTTAAATCTATTCAAATAAATTCATTTTAGATTTTAAAATCTATAACATTTCTTCAAATTTCATAACTAATGTCTTGTCTTATCTCGAAAACTCACCAAACACGTCCTAAATCCTCTAAATATTACCCAATCTAACTCTTACTCTCCATGTCATAACAACTCATTTGCTTTTGCAAATCTTATCCTCTTGACCTCCTAACTCTAACTTAAATTGTCGATTTGGTATACTATTAGTGTATTACCGTAGCAAATCTACGATTGAAGTAGAGGACATCAAGATTTGTTATTTGTGAATAAGGGAGTTACAAAGGCTTTATTCGGAGCTAACGAACCACCATAAATTTTAGATGTCATAACATGACACCCACATTTGGTGTCAAAAGAACGTCATCCACTCAATCTCATGGTTCTTTGACACCAAACCTTAATGTCATATTATTATGGGTGGGTTCCCATGACATTGGAACCCAATACCATGGGAACTTTGGTGTAGTATTATTGGAAGCACTAACTTTAAATAATGTTAGGGTGCTACCACACGAAGACTACCATGAATGCACTCATGCTTCGCACATACAAACACATGTAGTAGCACCCTTACATGACCCAATAACTTTACATGACAGAATTTATGTGAATACTCTTCCAAAATTAATGGGATATTGAGATTTTCAAATCGTCACTTATTTTCTTTAAGGTGAATTTAACTGGACGTACGAAAAATTGGGTACATCCCACAATTATTCATTTTAAAGCAACAAAATTTTTATTTTTTAACTGTAAAGTCCATTCTAAAGCATGCTCAGCAAAGTGTTCATTCTAAAAAAATGTAGTGTTCATTCTAAAACATGTTTATTCTGAAACAACGTAATATTCATTCTAAAACATTTTTTCAATTACAAATTTGACATAATGTACCAAGAGGAGAGTACATCCGGTTGTACCATATAATCTGCAGTTTAACAATATGCCCTTTAAAAAGACCGTAACTATAAAGTGGAGTATATATTTACTCACGTAATATAGATCACAACAGATGATCAAATTTTGATATGAGTGCGTAAATAAACAAAGGATAGAGGATGGAACTCATTCACTGTTAAATGGTGATCAAGCACATGAACAAACAAAGGGAAAACAGAAAACCACATACTATTCCAATGAACTGATCAATTCCTTGAAATCAAACACCACCCAATCTGCTTTTCCTGCAACGGATTCTCGGAGTTGAACTCCCGCATAGCAGATGTACAAGTCTGCCCCTCCTGGCTGACGAGCCTGCAGTAAAAACATTTCAAAGATTTTGGTGAGAGTAAATGTTCAATCGCATGATCAGCAAAGCAAGTGATATACCATCTTTCACTCTTGAGGTCGGTTTGTAACTCAAAAATTGCTAATGGGAGAAAAGAGGGAAAAATTGAAGGAAATAAAACCTAAGTTGCATGAAAACGGGTGCGGGTACTCATGAGGAGGCAGGGAAACACCAAGTTTTCATACTCCCTCCGTCCCATGAAACATGGGAGTTTTGCTTTTTAGGAGAGATTTAAGGGAAGTGTATTTTGGTATTGAATTTCCAAAAATGTCCTTTGATGTGATGGATAAAAGTATGATTTGATGGATAGATTATTAGTAAAAATGTATGATGTGATAGTTAGGGTATGAAAAAGTAAGGGGTAAAAGTGACTTTTTAATAGAAATGAGAAGTGTTTTGTGGGACGGATAAAAAAAGAAAGGAGAAAGATTTTATGGGACGGAGGGAGTATTTTACAAGGGATTTGGGTGTCAAGACATCCCCAAGTGCCCAAACAAGAAAGTTTCAGGGACAGGAAGCAGCACCTGTTTGAAAAATTTGTGTAAAATAGAATAAAACATGGAAGAAACTAAAATATTTGTTGCGAATTCTTTATATGTTTATTTCCATCATATAAACATGTAAAACAAAACTTAAGATCATTGATACTACTTCATTTTAGTTTGAATTTTCAGAGGCAAAGCCAAAACAAAATTGTTTTCCTTGGGCATTCTTTTCCCTTAGCATTTTCCAAGATCCAAACATACCCTCAATGAGAGTGGACAGATAATACATAGTGGTTACTTACCTCAAGGTCTGTAGCACCATCCCCAATCATGACTAATGACTTGTATCCATGATCCTACAGGACATTTCAAAATGTATGAATATGCTCGAAAAGGAACTGAATACGAATGGAAAATAATGTGTTATCATTCACCACTAACCTTCCGTATCTGACGAACTGCAGCAGCTTTCCCTCCACTCCGCGACGTGGGCTCATTTTTGTCAAACCCCATAAATTCTCCGGAAGTTCCAAAAAGAAGTTGATTGGCAAAAATGTTTTCACTTGGTATACCCAGGATGGAAGCAACAGGCTAGGAGGATGTGGGTATAGTTAGGAATTAAGAATATTTATCATAGTTGGAATGTACTCATAGTATATATAAGGTATACCTATTCCATTAAGTTAACAGAAATATATGAACTGCAGAGCATGATATAGAATGAAAAATTTAGTTTTACATTGTACTAGAGTGACTAATTGCTAACGATATAAAGAGTATTATTGAAGGATGAAAAAAAAATTAAACTCTGTAGCCAAAAGAAAGATTCTAAGTGAACAACTTTAAAGTGTAAGCAAGATGCTCTTCCTCAAGCTACACTAGCATTATTGACACATTTACGTCGTTGTAACTTGTAAGTAAAACTATCAAGTGAACTGTTGATATAGAAACAAAGTTGGTTCTTTTCTTTCATGATTCATATATGATAATAATTCTTGCTAATTAGGCTCTATTCTTTTGGGTTGTAAAATTAACTTCCAACTTTTTCCAAGTCTTTCCAATTTCTTCCAACTCCTTCCGGTTTCTTCCAACTTCTTCCTGTTTCTTCTAACAACCACTTAAAAATGTATTTATATATGATTAATATATAATAACATTATATATCCAAATTTATAACATATCACCTCAAACATAAACAATGATGAATTCTTTTTTATCCAAAATTAGAGTTTTTTTACATATTTATTTTGGTGATCATTTAATTGAGTGATTTTTTAACAATTAGATTCTTCCAACATTTTTCAACTCCTTCCAACTTTTTCCAACTTCTTCCAATATTCAACTCTGAAATTCTAACCCAAAAGAACAGAGCCTTAATGCTAACATTTTTTTGGTTATAGAGTTTAATTTGCCAAAGATTAACTATTTTTTGGCATTGGGGTATGATGGAATAAAGCAAAATGACTCTTTAAAGTTTAAACTATTAACGCTTATTTATAGTGAAGTAGCAATTAGTCAATGCAATATTCAATGCTCATTATGGGTCATTCTAAACTAGCCACTCTATGTTTTAGACATAGGGGTCAGGCTCTCTGACACCCCCCTCCCCACCCCACCCTGCAATGAACAGTGGCCTTTGAAGCACTGGGATACTGTTGTTGTGGTTATTGACGCTTTTCTTACGTGACACCCTTAAAGATTTCTTAACTTGAATTGCACATTTAATGTCTGACACTGAACTTCAGCATTCAGTCCAAGGAGAACTAAAATCCACTATAATCCCAACTCCGTTGCAAATACGTAGTAACATAGAGGTTGCTATGATTATACCCTTGAACTCATACATACAAACTGTTAAAAAAGGTTACCATTTGTCTGATAAAAGTGCAAACATTGATAGTTTAAATAGAATTAGTATAAATAGCGACATCAACTAGAAATTGAAACATGTCGCACCCAAGTTAGACTGACATACATTGATCATTTGACGAAACCCTCCAGAGATCAGATAAATATCTTTTTTTCTATTCTTCAGCAGGTTGACCAATTCATCAATCCCAGGAGACAGTCTACATGAAGGAAAATGGAAAACTTTATCACATTAAAGTACATATTAACAACAATGATAAAAGAAAACAAGCTTCTTAGAAAGTCAAGTATATCTACATATGAATGCTCTCACAATCGTTTCATAAGTCCATAACAGGAATTATAGTAAATGATGTTACTACCGTGCCTCCTATTTACAAACACAATCAATAACTTCGACTCTATGCAAAACCATGTTTACGATGAAACTTTTAAAAGTTGTGTGTCATTCACTGAGGGGGGAAATTTTGATCTCATAAAACTTGGGCATGTTTAGATAGTCGTGTTTCTGTCTTTTGACTCTTTTCCCGTCCCATAATAAAGCCATCTGGGGTACCACTACAAGAGAGTTAACACGAGGAAATAACAACAATCTCTCAAGTCCCAACACAACAAGATACAATGCAAAGTACTAGTATTAATTTTATACTCCGGGGACTAGTGATGACCTAGATGGAATATTTTATACTAGTGATGACCTAGATCATTATGCTACAAAATCAAAAGTGATGACCTAGATGGAAAATTTCCCAACACAAGAAGATACCATGCAAAGTACTAGTATAAATTTTATTTTAGGCGCAACTTGTAATAATTCTGGTATACAAGCAACCAGCAAGCTGGAAATGAAATAGTGTACTTCGTTTTTTAGGAAATAGTGTACTTGTTTAAAGAAGGGGAGCATAGGCACAGTGGTAGAATCTGCAGTCATGAGACCTGAAGTGTCAGGTTCATGCCGTGGAAGCATCCTCTTGTAAATATTAGGTGTGGTTGCTTACAGTGGTCCTTACTAGACCGGCCCTTATCTGGTTTGCCCCTTATTTATTTGAGACACCTAATTATTGGTTACCATTTCAAAAAGATGTCTATTCTAAGATTTCAAATTGCACTTTGATCGCCTTTAGTATGTTTGAAAATACTTAAAACGAGTTTCTCACTTTCTCTGCTCTTTCATAATGTCGTTGAGGGATTTCCGGGTTTCTCTTTAACAAAAAGCGTTAGGTTTTTCATTCTTAATTGTTTTATAGGTTTTTCTTTCTTAATTGTTGACTTGACAGAAAATGGCAATTAAAAGTTAATATTTTAAAAATTGCACTGAAATGAGTTCTTCTAACAAGCCCATGCAAGCAGCCAGGCACACCTTGATGTACCCACATGGGCACCTTGGAAATTTCCCTAATAGATGAAAAAAGCTATTTGTACACCATTTTTGACATCATCCTTTTTACAGACATCACAGACATTCAGCTATGTTCATGAGTCATTGAGTCAACTCTTTTGTGTTTGATCATGTATCATATCATTTTTCTCTTTTTTCCAGATTATATCCAGAACTGTTTTATAGGCCCATTTTTTACTAATGATGACTGGTTTAGGTCCCCAGAGGTATGCCTACAAAACAAGTTTTCCCCTCAACTGAATTCCTTAAAAAGTTTATTTAAACAATAAAAAATGTCATCTTGAAAAAACAAAGAGCAACACAATAGATGTCACTGCATATGTATATACTCAATTATTCTTACTGTCAGGTACCTTGGAGGTTTCTTCTCTAAGAAACTCTCAACTTGAGACAATGAAGGATTGAAAAGAGATAGCCTGGCAGCCAAAGCTTCCTCAAAGGGAACGGAGCCGCTCATTGCCCTAGCAATGCCAAAAAGCCCAATGGGAATTTAAGCACTTATACACCAACACACATTTATCATACAAAAACATACATCTACCTTGCAGTCCATTCTGCCACAGCCTTCCCAGCTCCACAGAACTCAGCAAGTTCATCTATGCCCTCATCTACACAAACTGTGCTATCTACATCAAAGCATACAGCATCCGCATTCTGCCAGACATCAAGTACCTCTTGCAATATTAAGCAAAACACCATTTAGGCTCAGCGTTATGAGTGATATAATGCAAATATTCACAATAATTATTACTATCAGAAACAAAAAAAAACATGGCATTCCATAGCTTCTCATTTATGAATGCAACAGATTAAAACATATGTTCATATATATATATATATATCTTAAGTCAATTTCACAATGTCGCAAGTTATAAAAACTAAATAATCATAATACCACATATCCTCCATAACACAATTAAGTTCTCGGTTTGATGGTCCCAAATGTAACACTTTGACCACAAACACACACACGCGTGAATAAATATCTTAAACTTATCATATTCTAGAACTGCATTTTAAAAATAATCTAATGACATTGAATTCATTTTATAACTCAACATATGTTTTAATACAAATCGTGGTCAAGACTTCTAAAATTTGACCACAGAAGTAAAAAAAATTCGTAATTATTGGAACGAAGCAGTAAATTACTAAAACCCTGGTTAATACAAAATTAAACATTCCATTCTAGTAAAGTACTCAGATGACCAAGAAAACTACTCGCTCCGACGTCCGTCCCCAAAATGGTGTTAACACTTTCTTTGTGGACCCCGCAAAATGAAGTTAATGTTTTTCCCCTTTCCTTTTTAGTAATAAATAAATATATGGCTCTTATAAATTCTCTGTTTTAGAAATAAACTTCAACCACAAACATTTCAGTTTTCACCAAACACCTCCTACTTTTTAAAAACTTTTTTAAGGTATCTGAAGCAAAACAATTTTTAAGCTTCATTTTTTGGACGGAGGGAGCGACTCGGATATAAATGTGCAAAAAGAACACTTGGACTCTACATTTACCTTTAGTTGGCAATGCATTACTAAAGCTGGTTTTTTGGGAGGTTCCAACAGGTTGAATAGAAGCTGAAACCAAATTCAAAGACTTTGGATTGCAAATCATCCTATGTGATTTCCAACCAACTGTTCTGGAAACTCCCGGAGTGAATGCAGAAACGAGGGCACGATTATCCCGCTTACAATAATAAGCTTTGATTGGATTGATCTGCAAACCCTTACACCCCTCCATTACAATCATCTGAAATCTACACCCGAAGAACAATAAAACCCAGAAATGATTCGATGCATCTCATCTTTAAAACTCACGAATCAATCGATTAACGCGACGAAAAAAATAACAGAGGGATTAAGATCATGACTTACTTCTATGAACAGCACGGACACGCCGGGAGAAATGCGGTTAAAGATCAACGGGGGAATACATACGGGCTTTCGCGGTGTTAGGAGAGAAAGATGGGAAGTTTGGCGTGGAATTTTTAGGAGCTGAATCCGGGCACGGTCCGACTCTGAACCCGGAACCGGCAATTCTTGGACTATAATCGACCGGATCCGGCAGGGCAAAAACAGAACCTGGTTTAAGATATTTTCTTGATTTACCTCTTCAAAAAAATTGTTTTTAACTTTCTCAAAACTAATAACTTCAATGAAAAAAAATCAAATTTTGAATGAGTATTCATACCTCTTTAAATTGGAAGAACTTTTACTTTATCATTTGACTTCACCATTACAATGCAAAAATATACTACCTTTCCACAAAGAGAATTTATCTGGTTTTTATTTTTTACTCAATCATTTTCAATCTTTGACCTGTAATTAAATAAAATAGGCATTGTATATTAATTAGATAATATGATATTTTATATAATAAATCTAATAAAACTATTTTATATTAACATCTAATATCGTTTTTATTTAATTTAGGGTCAATGTTTACCCATTTTGACCGAAAAAAGTCAAAAAGAGATAAATACGGAGTATTATAGGACAGAAGGAGTATAAAAATAGAAGACAAATTTATAAGTTAGCTTGATTTCCCCTCTTTTTTACTTTTACCTCAACATCTCAACATTGGACCTTTAATTAAATAAAATACATATAAGATATTAATTAGATAAAATAATATTTTAAAAATATTTTATAGTAAAAATATTTAAATTATTTTTGTATTAATATCTAATATCACTTTTATTGAGTTTATGGTTAATGTTTGTCAATTTTGACTAAAAAAGTTAAAAGTGGACAAACATTTAAGGATAGAAGGAGTAATTCTTATTTAGTTACAAGTTAAAGATCGATTCGAGTTGACTGCAAAAAGTTTAAACTAGATAGATTCTCTAGGATGGGGAGAGTAAAAAGTTAAAAAAAGAACGAGTTTTTATTTGCATGTCTAGCGTGTGGAGATCGAACAAGAAGCAATGCAGCATCAGAAGGGGATAATGTGCACCCTTTACAAACCATAGGTATATTTTAGGTTACATTAGAAAACATAGGGGTGCTGAGAACCTTTTTCGAAACCAGAGGGGGCGGTGGTAATATTCACCCTATAAATTAATGTAAGTTTTAGATTTGGGAGTTTCTATCTACTCCTTTTTCTAGCTTTTATAAACATTGCTCCAAGTTACTGTTCACATTCATTGTCAACTTCTTTGGCTTTGCTTGCTTTCCTACAGATATTTGGAATTACATGATCACCTTAAAGAGGTATTTTGTTTGTCCACTCCAATTCTTTATCTTGGTTTTGATTTCGTCCTTTCCAAGATTGTGAGAATTTCAAGGAGCTTCACCCTACCACTAAGAATACGAAGAATTATTCTTATATAAATGTAGTGATCATTATGTATCACCAGTAAATGGACTAAAATTATGAATGAAGTGTATAACAAGAAAATAACAAATGACACCAAGCATAAAAGGCATATCAAGCACACAACAACACCATCCCTATCACAAAGAACCTACCTAACTACTCTGCTCTTATCCTTCCAGACGCTCCTACCTAAAGCGATATCCTTGTTGGTTCCTTGGGTGTGTCTTAGCCTCTTTGTCATAGGTGTTGGCTTTATTTTTGACAAAAACCAGCGTAGTAGTTTTTAGTACTCAGTTTGTTCTAGCTATGTGTTTTATAGAGCTGTAGCATCCTGTCCGTCACTCCAACAGTCCCTAAACTTCTGGACTCTACCAACTAAAGACAGACTGCGGCTCACCAAACTGAAGAAGAACTCTATCAACTAAAGACGACTGCAGTTCACAAAACTGAAGAAGATATATGCGGTATCAGAAGGAAACCATAACAAGGACTCTACCCGGTAAGCACAAAACTGGAGGTAGAAGTATATTAGGATTCTCCTAGGGTTGATCTCACCTTGCGAGTATATATAGAAGGAAGCACTGCCCGGTTTGGGTGTGAATTGAGAGAGCAAGAGAGAGAACATATTAAGAGAGAATCCTGAATAAGTCATCAGCCAAGCAGATCGAAGAACACAGATGGCTGGTATGCAGAATAATATTCTGCTTTGGGATTAACGTGCGTTCCAGACAGTTGAACTGAGAAGAGATGGAGCGTAGGCCAGGAACACGTCTCAGATAAGTTGTTCATGTGTTTCAGTCTCGGTATCTTTACATAAACCGAGTTTATTGCATCCCATTAAGTTGTTGAGTTTAGATCAATGGATAGATCAAGTATGTTGTCATTGAGGGTGTAAACTCTGGATTGATTTAGTGGGAAGGCTGTTACACTGACGTGGGCCTCGTAGACGTAGGAGAAATTGCTCCGAACTGCGTAAACAATTTTGTGTGTTGTGTGCTGTTTGTTTTTGTTTCAGTCTATTTATTCAGCAGTTGGTGAAGCACTTTGTGTTACGACTCAATATTAGAAAGTGCTTCAGCAACCTCTGCGACAACTTGTTTTGCTTTAGGTTGCTACAGGTCATACGCTGTGGGAAGTGAAACTTTCAATCCTCACTAAGGGTAAGAAGTCCTAAGTCATGTCTAATCATCTTCTTCTAACTCTTCTTAAGTCTACCTCTTCCGCTACTTCCCCCTACCAACTTAAGCCTCTCGCTTCTCCGCACTGGATCTCGGCATTCTACCGTCTCACACGACCGAATCACCTCAACCTAGCTTCACAGAGCTTATCTTCCACTAGCGTCATGCCTAACTGACCTCAAATAATCTCGTTCGGAATCCTATCTAGCCTTGTCTACCCACAAATCCACCGCAACATCCGCATTTCGGCCGCATGCAAACGACGCACGCGAATCTTCTTAATCGTCCAACACTCCGCCCTATAGAACATATTTGTTAAAAATACTATATAAACTTATGAAATAAGTATAGTGTTCGTGTAATTATATATTACGTATAAATGCAATGAACATTATTTAATTTTCAAATGTGCAAACCTATATTTTATAATGTACATATTTTCAATAAATACTATACTTAATAAATATATGTAATGGGTATTGTGTTACTCATAAATAAATATTCGAAGGATATACAAAAAACACTACACACCTAGGTGTATAATATACAAAATCACCCTTTTAACGTATTTGAATTTTGGATTGAAATAAACATTTTTTTAAAGTAAAATCTTATTAAAAAATGCACCCTTCATGTGACATCTTAACTGTCAATTTACTTTGTGTCAAACATTTGACTAATTATACACTTCCTACCCCACAAAAATATTTCATGATTGACTATGCACAAAGACTAAGAAAAGTAAAATTGTATGGTTAAAATTGTTAGTTCCATGTAGTGGTATGATGTTGTTAGCATTATTTTTTGATAAACGAATAGTTTTGTTTATATTTATTTGTAGATGTTTTAGTATAAAGTTGTAGCATCATGTTCGTCACAGTGTGAAAACCTACAACATTCTTAGAATTCTGATCATGGCCGAAATCAAGAAATTGTTGAAGTCAAATTTTCTCACATATGAGTGGGAACGTTCTAGCTAATTAAGAGGTAATTATTTATTGAGCAATGAGTCTTGAATCTTTTTTTGGATTCCTTTGAATAAAGCATCACAAGCCATGAGCCTTTTTGATTGGAGCATTGGGCCTTTTGTATTGGATTACTTGTTGTGCGAGAAGTATCCTAATTCCAATGGGATAACGTTGTTGTTGTTTATCATATTTTATTTTTATATGTATTTTTCAAGTTATAGCTGGTATGATCACAACGCACACAACACGCACACAAACATACGAGAGAATAATAAAGGTGCAACCTAAAAAAGACACACATCTATAAGGTTGAATCACATGAGCGAGAATATTTCAGAGTACATTAAATATTATTACATCAGGCCCACAACCTAACAAAATCCACACTAAAATAACTTGCTACAGTCTTTCTTTCATTTACCATATAAGCTCTCCATGGTAACAACTAATATATATGTCCTTTGTTTGAGGCCAAGATGCTCATCTTCAGGATCTGGAGGAACAAACAACTCATTTGAAACGAAATGAGTTGAACATAGTGAAACGAATCTCTGTTCTCTGTTCTCTGTTTTTCAAAGCCACTTCGTACCTTTCCTCGCGTGTGGCGAAAACCATTCATGAACACTCTTTACTCTTTTTCTCTCTTATTTTACAAGTTGGATTCATCAATTTTTGAACATTTGAATGGAATATTATCAAGCACCCTCCACTCTTTCGGATAGTATTTATGGTTCTACCTTAGTAATGCCGCTGCCACGCCAGTTGAATGTTCTATTTAAAACAGCCCTCAATCACTACAAAGCGTTGGATTTGAAATTGGGAGTTTGAATAGCTCTGCAGTCACAAACACACACACCATTAGTTTTATACATCCAACATTGTGTGCTATACATATAAACCTATATGTATAGCTTTTAGACACAATCCTTATATGTCAACAGTAGAAAGCAGGAGTCGCAGACAAATGTACGAACACGCACACAATAATAACTTATTTAATCAAAATACATTCTTTTAATTCTATAATAGTTCAATATAACTTTTAGGGTGTGTTTTGGAGTGTTACATGTCTCCACCCTTAAAGAAATTTCATACTCGAAATTCTTCTAAAGTAATGTTGTTCAACAATCTTGTTTTGTATTCGCGTTAGTCGTATCGCATAACTGCTTCAGGTTCATCTTGTGGATCACATTTCCGTTATTGTTCCCATGGATACATATTCTCGTGTCGTCGGTATCATCAAGCGTGTTCTATCTTCGAATATTTTTTGGGAAAAGAGCACTATTAACAATTTTTATCATGAGTATTTATTTGTTATGATTATGCGAGTCAAGGAATCTTACAGTCTTCTTGCTGGATTTCATTAGAGCAAACACCCATCAATTGAAGTTCCTCCGAAGCATATAACATCGTATATTACAATATAATTGGTCTTTTCGTAGTTGTACACAACCTCATTCATCCTTTCGTGAATCTTAAATACCTAATATTGGTTAGTGATATTTTTCCTAGATCAAAGTTATAGAATAGCATTCGTAGTTTTGCACTCTCAGATTCAAATGAAGAATAGTTTGGAAATTGTTTTGCACGT